TGTATGTATGTATGTATGTATGTATGTATGTATGTATGTATGTATGTATGTATGTATGTATGTATGTATGTGTGTATGTGTGTATGTGTGTATGTGTGTATGTGTGTATGTGTGTATGTGTGTATGTGTGTATGTGTGTATGTGTGTATGTGTGTATGTGTGTATGTGTGTATGTGTGTATGTGTGTATGTGTGTATGTGTATGTGTGTATGTGTGTATGTGTGTATGTGTGTATGTGTGTATGTGTGTATGTGTATGTGTATGTGTATGTGTATGTGTATGTGTATGTGTATGTGTATGTGTATGCGTATGCGTATGTATATGTATATGTATATGTATGTGTATGTGTATGTGTATGTGTATGTGTATGTATATATATATATATATATACCTATGTATATCATGCGTGTCTGTGTGTGTATATGTGTGTGTGTGCACATCCACGTCTCGATGTTCGTTCCACCCGCAGGTTTCGGTGCCCCGTCCAGCCCAGCAGCACCAGGTCGCAGCGACCCTCGCGGCCCCTGAGAATCCGTCGGATCGATCCGAGGGGATCCTCGGGGGTTCGCTCGTTTCATGAGCCTAGCTCCTCCAGTAGAGAGGATCGAATAAGTTGGTACCCACTCTTGTCTGTAGTCTATTTAGTCGGGGAACCCTCACCCCAAAAGAGAAACGGGTGAGAAAGGGCACTACTGGGGGGACATAGGAGCTGACTTTTGACCGCCAGCGGAGCCCAAAGTGGGGAGATCCTTCGAAGACTTTGGGAATTCGGAACTCCGAACCTGACACAAAGATGAGTCAGAACTGGGCCTTGTCCGCCACTTTTGAGGGGTTTCCCGTATCAAACGGCATGGCCGGACAGGCTTGACGACCCCAATTCAATCGGGCAGCCCTCGAAACTCAACATGGGGATCAAAAACTTGCTGGTGCGGTAGGTAGGGAATGGCCCAGGGTGTGGGGGATGAACCGGCAGGGGATTCCCTCAAAGGAAACCATGGGGGATGGTTTATACGGGGCACCCCCCCCTTCGCCAAAAACAAAACAACTACCTCTTCTATAATGTATATATATATATATGTATATATTGTGCAGATGTATATACTACATATGTTCTGTACCATTGGATGTCTCTCTGGAGGGGGCCGTGTTTTGCGGTTTCAAAGGGCAACCAATGGGAAATTGCCCATTGTGAGGGTTCCCCCATCTGGAGACAATCTCATGTATGTATCCTGTTTATCGGCCGCACCCTGTACATATTTGCCAACTGTATGCATACTTTCAGTGTCCAATGGTTGACAAAGGAGCACTTCAGGGACGCAACATTTGTTTCAGTCCATTCCACGGTCAGCAAGCAAATGTATGTTCATGGACGGTGTTTGGAAGGAATGTGCCGTTTTATGGGGGGTCCCTAATTTGCGAAACACCCACATAATGTGTTGCTTGCTGTAAACATGTAAAGCTGCATCATGTGCGTTCCTCGCATGGGGAGGTCTTACAATTTGGACGACCGATTCCCATGTCGCAAGACAAACTGCATTCATCCCACAGAATCTGGTGGAAACTCCGTGTGAAAGGTCGGATATCGGGGCTTCTGAATAGGAATCCGGGGCAGAGTTGCTGCCCGACAATTTGGGAGTAGATGCTTTCTCTTTGGCTGCTCTTGCGCGAGCAAAATGAGCCGGCCATGTCCCAAGCAAACAAGACCATATGAGTTCGTGGGCTTTTTTTTGGGGGGGCACCCCGTGCATGGTTCGAATGGACCAGCCAAAAAAAAGGGGCGACGGGCCACCCCACTTCCGCAAGCTCAAAGCCCAATTTTGTGACACATGCCCCAAATGGCTGCGGGTCAAAAAATGGCACCCGTCATGGGGAATCCTGGGAAATGAAGCCAAAGCTCGAACCTGCAGTTTCCTGGTGGTAATTTTTGTTCACCCATTCCCACATGGGAGATGTCGAACGCCCACGGCCGACCCGCGAAACTCCGCCGAGGCGCCCCTCCATGCCGATCCATGCCGATGCAAAGCGCTAAGGGAGGCGTGGCCCGAGTTCGCCCAGAGTTGCCCTGGTAAGTCAAGCCTCCATACAGGATCTTCCAAACAGCTTCACAAAAGTTCTTCACTTCATCTCAAACGGAACCTGCAAAAAAGCAAAACCACTCGTTCATGCACTGTGGGAAGCCTATGGGGTGTTACCGGCTTGCTGCTGGTTGCTGCTGCCCCACTACGCAGCTTTCCGGTCGATGCGAAATCTGGCCCTCGGATGATCTCGTGATCCTGGGGGTGATCTTTCGAAAGGAGACTGTAGGGGAAACCCAAAAATTACTTCAAAAAAGCAAACTGCTTTCTGTCTTTTTTTGAGGGGGAGGGGCTCCCACCAAAGTTCTCAGGGAGTCCGACCTAAAACAGATGTCCACTGTTTCGAGCCAGAGAGATGCGCGAGATGCGAGGTGCGAGGTGCGGGCAAGAATGTGAGGCACCTAAGCAAGGCCTGGGGACCACCTGGCTAAAAAATGAAGAGGCCTGTGGATGTTTTGGGTGTTTTCCCAAGAACAAAATCGAAAAGAAGGCCGGAAGCCTGAAATTGCTTTAGATATCTCGCACGGGACGCTGTCAGACTTGGAAGGAACCTTCTGGCCATACCAAGTCCAAAACGATCCCACACCCAGACAGCTCACGTCGACTTTTTGGATTGATGTTCCCCTTTGAAAAAAGTACAGGTGCGTGACAGCCATGAGCCAAGGTTCGTGGTTCTTCGGGTTCCCGTCACATTTGAGCAGCGCCCGTTTCAGCCGTTGACTTTTGGTACATGATCTAATTGTTTGGGCATGACCCCAATCAAACCAGGCAGGAACCGAACCACCTAGTCATGGCAGACAAGAAATCGGCTTTCCACCGGCCTCTCGATGGATCTCGCAGCCCAAAGAAGCAAAAAGGGAACTGGGGCGAAAAGGCCAGCAAGCTCACTGGCTCGTTTCGAGGGAATCCCCCCCCCCAATTTACAGAAAACCCAGGTTCGTCCAACGTCGAAAGGGCCATTGCCCATCCAGCCTCTGCTCTCAAACCCAAAGTAAAGCAAGCTCCCCTTGAAGAGCTTGCGGACGAAGCGAGCCCGAAAGTTCAGGAACTCCAAGCTTTCTCTTCTTGGAGAAAAAAAGATCAAACCTGGGAGAAAAAAATAAAAGATAGGTCCCTGAGCTTGCCTTCAAAACCTCCATCGGCCTTGTCCCAGATTTTCGGACACTTCGGCGCGGGCTCTCAGAAGGCTTCGCTCGCAAAAAGGCCCCGAAACGGGGTCCGAACTTCCCGAAACCGTTTCTCTTGGAAACCCACAGGGCCCCTTTGACGCTTTGATCCGTCCGCTTTTGAGACACGAAGGCAACTCATTTCCCTGGGTTCCAAAGGGACCCGGAAAAAAAAAAAAAAAGAAAGAAAAAAAGAAAAAAACAACTCCCCGGCCAGCTTGGCTCTGGAACATTGGTCTCTGGAAAATTATCTTCTTCCCAAATGAGCGGTTTGGTTTGGTTTGGAAGTTCGGGGGTAGCTTCTCATTTGCCCCCAACCAGAACAATGGCTTCAAGTCAAGCCAAACCAAACCAATTGATTCGCAAAAACAACATGATGACTCGCAACAAAAAGACCGACAAACCACACAAACCACGCAAGTTATTCTATGACCCACAAAACAAAACAAACCAAAAAAAAAGACGTGTTCTCCCAATCCCCAGAATGGCATCGATTGCCCCCGCCTCCGCGGTCTCGGCGGAGGGGCAGGCGGCCAGAGCCCGGAGGTCCTCTCTCGCTCAAAGCCGAAGCCTGCAAAAAAAACATGTGGCAGCACAATCAAACCCCGGTATGAAAATGGTCTACCCAGAACCATGTAAAGAATTAAGAAGGCGGCCGCAGCTATTTATTGTTGGGATTGTCCCTTACTAACCTTCATGTACCCGGGTTTTGATTGTGGCTCAAGTGGCAGCAAATTCAATTCAAAATGGTGTGGCAGCACCAATGAACTAACACCCGTGTTCCACTGCGGGGTCAAAACCGAGCGGAACATGGTCTACCCAGCTCCCATGTAAGGATGAAAAAAACGGCTACACCCATTTATGGGTGGGATAAGACCTGACTGACCATCTACACGGATTTTGATTGTGGCTCAATTGAAATCCCAGGATATTTGCTCAAGTTCCGGAGAAATCAGAAGGATGGCTGGTTTTCCAAACAACGATCCAGGACAAAACAAGCCTGCAACTTTGATGTTTTCGGATTGATCCAGACCGTACTAATCAGAGGTCGCCTTGTCCGTTAATCGATTCATAGCAGTTGTAAGCTCCAGAATTTACGTAGATGGGAATAGACTTTGTGGTTACGCTAGGGAAGCTCTGTTTGGAGGGTGTCTCCCAGGGAGGTTGTATTAATGTGGTTGGATCGCTCGCAATGAAACATGGCTGGCCAAAGAGAACCCAAAGGTAGGCTACTTGGTCATAATGTTTACTTGCAAACGCATCCGAACATGGCTGGTGGACATGAACCCCGTTCTCTGATGTCCCCCAAGTCAAACCAAATTCTAACCTACACGGGTGCGTTTCCTTTTTGTCGCCGGCATGCGGAGCCAAACAAGGTCCTAGGAGCCTTTCATCTGGAACATGTATGGCAGCTTGCCCATCCCCCTGCCGACCCATCAAACACACCTGCCATCAAACCCCAAAAACCAATATGTTGTTTTTCAAAGGTGTCACACCTGTTCTCGAAACCTAGGAAAAAATAAAGGGGCCGCCCATGTGTCACTTGGACAAAAACTCTTCTCCTGACACCAACATGCAACCCATCATTTTGGGAGCAAACATTGCAGCGCCGTTGCCATGGGCTTTACCCTGCGATGCAATCTTGCCTTTGCCCTCATTTCATGGCCCAATCGCGCGGCGTCGGTGCTTCGCGATGGCCCGCACTCTTTGGCGTCCCGGGTCCCTCACTGGAAAGGAACTCCTCTTAAAAGGCTAAGGACTATCTCTTCTGTGGGTGGACAGAATCTGGCGCTAGTTGGCGCAAATCGGGTTTCATCCACCCAACTAGCGCGATGTAAGCTTTGTCCATCCACGGCGCCGACCTCAAGAAAAGCTATGCCTCACCCTTCTTAAGAGGTTGATGGCGTCATCCCCACCACCGAAGTACACTTGAGCGTTTTGACCATCATCTCGCACTTGTGGATCTTGGCTCCTACACCAACTGTACCAAACCCCCCAAGAAACGACTCTACGCTCTTGCCATGTTCCTTTTGGGGGTGAGTGGGTCGGTCTCCTCAGGCTCAGAGACCCAAGCCGCACCAGTCGCGCAACGCGACTGGCAGGCACAAGGGCAAGACAGCGTGACATCCTCGAACAGCGCTTACCCGCAGGCTCTTCCCAGGATGATCCCTCAAAGCAGTACTGCCGCAACCACACGCTGGGCCTCGTCCTAGCCCAAGGGCTCACACATGGGCAGCGGAGGCAGCGAGACAAAGCCAACGCAGCCAAAATGTTCCGCGCGGCTCGGACGCAGCCATGGTTCGTTTTGGGGTTTCAAGGGTTCCCTTGGTTGGGGGTTTTAAGGGTTCCCTTGGTTGGGGGTGTCAAGAGTTCCCTTGGTTGGGGAAACATGGCTCTCAAGTCCAGCGGAACGACCCGGCTCGAAAAAAGAAGAAGAAAAAAAACGCTGCGTCTCCTCGGCCCCCAGCATGCCACCGTACCGCTCCAGGAACACGTGCATCTGCCGGCACGCGCTGCGGGTGACCTGCAAACGAGTGGTTCGAAGCCGAGTTCGCCCGGACTTCGGGCGAAAAAACAACGGCCTGAAGAGTTCTGGGTTCTTCTCGTGTGGTTTCACTTGAGTGGGTTTGGTGAGTTATCTCATCACGGCTTTGGGGGTTCCCCCGGAAGTTGGGCTCTAAGAAATGGAAGGCTTTCAGTTGTCGGAACCCGCGCAGTAGCCGTGGGTCGGGTCCCCTGAATTGTTTGCCTTATGGCAATCCCCTCCTTCAGCTTCCCAGCAGCTGGTTGCTTGGATTGGGTTCGAGTCCCCAAGCCACCAATCCAACCCAACAACCCGGTTTCCGGATTCTTGGCATCCGCAAAACGAACGAGAAGCACCTCAAAACGTTTCCGTGCTCGGTGTACCAACAAAACATCTCACTTTTCGTCACTGGTTCAAAGAGCTGAATGGGCTGAGATTTCTTTGCTTAATCGCTGGTTGTTCTCAAAGGGTTACGCCCCAAAATGGCTCCTTTCGATGTCCTTTTGGTTTCCTTCGACACCAAGAAGAGTTGGGTGACAATAGATGGCACAATCTTGCCCCATGTTGGTTCAGTCATCCACCCTTTGGGGGGTTGATCAATGCCCCTGGCCTCCAAATGACTGTGGGAAATATCAAATCCTTTTAGTGGCTTTCCAACCAACGGTCAACCCCCATATGCTTTTGAGTCACCCCCTGATTTTTGTGCGGATTCTACGGACCAAGCCGCCCCCTTTGCCTTGAGTTAGGCTTCTGTCCTTCCGAGCAAAGATATGGGTGTGGCTCAAAACTAAATGTGAAAGGTAGACTCAAACCTGCGTAACCCCTCGGTGAGCATCCCAATCCCAACTAAAATTGGTCCTAAAATGAGTGCTGAATTCACCTACCAACCAAAATGGGATCCCCAAAACTCTTTTGACAACCACAGCCATATCACGATCCCATCGCAACGAAGTTTTCTTCGCCTCCGCCAGCTGCTGCTCCGAGGAGAGCCGCTGCTCCACGAAGTCGGTGCCTGGGAGACGACGGTTTCGGGTGAACGTTTCGGCTGGGTGTCGGGTGAATTTAGGTTAGGGTTGGGTGGTATTGGGTCTGGTTTTGGGTGAAATTTTAGGTTTAGGTGCTGGGTGAAGTTGGGTCTGTAGATCCGGGTTTAGGGTGGGCTTCGGTGTTGGTTTCGGAAATTGAGGGTTAATAATAATAATAATAAAAATAATAATAATAAGGATCATGATAATGATAATAAGGAACATGATAATGATTATAATTGTTATTATCATTATTGCTAGTTGTTTCTATTGAAAAACATGCGGTCTTGGAAATTGTTTTTTCTCCCCAAAAGACGGGTGCTGGAATGGCGCAAAAGAATATAACTATTCTGGCCAGGAGTTTGCCCTCTGACGCGCAGGTTGTCAACGAATAACCAGGCTTTACGTGGGAGGAAACCGAGCAGACCGTGCCAAGTTTATCAGCGCCGAGCCAGCCGACGAAACGCGACAGGTCTCTAGCGAACATTTGTGCTATTTGTGAAGGGCCAAACAAAAACAACATGAAACCAAACACGGACAAAGAGAAACCAACAAAAAGAACACCAACAACAAAAAAGAAACCCAAAACATTGACTCTCAAAAGTGAAAGCGCGTTCAACAGGTAGAAATTGAACTTCGCAAAACAATTTTGCTGGCTCAAAGCGCCAACAGCTGAGGGCAATATCCTCCCACCAACTAACATGGAAGTGCAACAAGGCCTTTCCAAGAGGAAAGCAGTCTTTCTACAGGGGTCTCTTTGCACCAACCCATGTTAGCTGCTGGGATTCCCTTGGCGCCATTTCCAGTATCAAACTTAGTCAAGGTGCATCAAACGGGGGAATCTTCCCGTATCCCTGGTGCGCCCTGTGTCTGTGCTAGTCATAAAAAACCAACGGCTCGCTCCGCCAAACTCCGGGCACAAGCGCCGTTGAACTTCACCGGATGCTTGAACTTCCCCGCAAAGTCCTCAGCAAAAGGGGCTAGCCGTTCACCAAATCTCGGCCAGCTTCCTCGCCCCAAAAAGCGCAGTTGGTGCAAAAGTCATCTGTTTCCCAAAAAAAACTTATGAAATCGCAAGCAGGTTTTTTTCCGACACACTTGAAGTTTTCTTTGGGATTTCCTGAGGAAGAGTCGGCGAGTTTTCTGAATTCAGGGTGTCCAATTCTGTGAAGGCCAAGCCAAACGACCCCTTCAGTGGGGTCGCTACCCCAGGTTTATCGGATGGCTCGGACGTTTCCCCCGGCTAGTCCCCGGCTGTGGGGGTTTCAGAAAGATGTTGCGAGGTTTTGCTGGGGATACCCCTTGGGCTTGGAACAAACAAAATCGGGTCATGCAGACTCTACTTGAATGCTGGGAGGGATCTTTAACCTTCAACTTGTTGGGAGAGTCGTCGCTTTCCCACAATTCCCTGCAAGAAGTCGATATTACCAAAGCGGCAGCCGCATCCCTACGACTTTGTCATTCCAAAACGAGAATCCCCTTGTCGCCAAAACTGCTGAGCCCCTCTCCCAGAATTCGAGCCAGCAACCCGCCGACCGGGTCCAAAGTGTCATCCTCCAACTTGCCCTCATGTTGGCTGAAAGTAACTTGCAAATCATGGGACTCTTGGAACCACAGCCACCCAAAAAAAGGTGATCCCGGTCCGCCCAGATCATGGGTTACACTAAACTTGCCGAAACACCGTGGGCTGCATTCATCTTTGGGTTCCCAATCTTTAAGAGAGCGCACCTCGCAGCCAAAAACAAAAACCTCCAGGGTTCCGAACAATCTCTGTCGCACTGAGTCTTTCTCGAACTGCTCCCGCCCTCGCATGGTACATCTGGGCATGTTGTCTCAAACCTGCGAAAAGAAGTGATCTCCCCATTTGGGTGCATTTTGCAAAGGTACGCCTCTTTCGTGGGTTTGATGGCGAAATCAAGAGGAAAAAAACGAGCCCCCCAATTCACCCCAAGGAGACGTTCAGCCCAGCGGCCGCATGCTCCATCACCCGCTTCACAGCGAACTCCACCTGTCGCGGGTGCAAAAATGTCCGAACCCCTCCCACATGATATCAACCTCTGATTAAAGGATGCGTTCACGCAAAACCTGGTTCCAAAAATGACGATCAAACGCAAAACGGATACTTGTGGGTGTGTCCCCCAAACTTATAGGCTTCCTTCTGGCTTGGCTTCCCTTCAAAAGGACACACAAAAAGGGTACCATCAAGAAAGACACACCCATTTAGCTGACCCGAAATGGTGGACATGATTTAGGTGGCAATCATGTTTGAGGGTCTTCCCTAAAATTAGCAGCCACGTCCAAGATGGGCGGAGTAATTGAATGGGACGCCACCTACAAATCAAGCAGGGGTTTATTCATCCTATCTTCCCAAGGCTCTGAGTACCAATGACCTAGCGCCATAGAGCATGTGGGGATAGGGCTAGTCCTAGATTCGGGAGCGCGGCTCGAGGAGTTTCGAACAGAAAGCTTCGAGCCACAGAGTTTGGAGGCCCCACGCAGAGGCCTCGGGAACGCCTTCCCGCGCTACTGGTAGCGGTGAGGTGAAAAAGCCCCGAGAGAGAGAGAGAGAGAGGGGGGGGACAGACGACGAGGGAACAAAGGGAGGAAGGGACAAGAGAGGTGAGAGAGAGAGAGAGAGAGAGAGAGAGAGAGAGAGCAAGAAGGAGAAAAGGGAGAGGCCAATGTCGGCGGAGTGAGCCGGAGTCGAAAGATCCGTTGGATCGCATTCTCGTTGGAGTGCATTCTGGCCGTTCGGGTTTGGGTGCCTTGTGTCAGAATCTGTTTTTTGGGACGTCGCGGCCCCTCCATCTTTGGTTTCCATTCAAAACCACAAGGAGGGTCAAGATGGTTGCAAACGCCGCTAAAGAGCTTGGGTAGCTAGGAGAAACCCAAAGTGAAAAACCACCTGGGGTCCACTTGAACCGAAAGTGAAACCACCTGGGGTCCACTGGAACCAAAAAAGCACATGGCTCGGCCGAAACGCTGCAAAAAGTTGGAAAGCCCTCAACGCTGGGTCCCATCGAGTCTTCAACCGTGGCTCGGTCTGATAGCTGAAAGGAACCCGTTGGCTCGAACCGGATCAACCCAAGTGGGCATCAGACATGTGTCACATGGCAGAAATTGTTGGATCAACCAAAGTGGGCATCAGAAAGGTTATTGTTTTCACATGGCAGTAGTTTTTGGTGGACTTTTTTCGCGACATAGTTGGCGTGCCCGCAAAAGCCGGAAACCCCGGGGCCCCGCGCGGCCGAGTCGAGCGCCGCATCCGGCATGCTGGAACTCCACGGGTCAACCCGGCAAACTGCGTACCCCAAAGCCGCTTAAGAGCTTTGGCGTTCGGTGTCAACGGCTTGCTTGAAAACCGGTCTTGAAACTGGTTCTCTTCCGGCCTGGTTGAAGTCGCAGAAGAATTCTTTCGGGGTCTCCACACTTTGCGCAGCTTTTACGTGCAACTGCATTCGCGCTCCGAGCTCCGAGCCCGGACTGCGGGAGGCCTTTCCTGGTTGCCATCCACTCACAAAAAATAATGATCTCAGACTCAGTCTACCCTGAGACAGTGAGGGCAGAAATCTCGGGGGAGACCCCAGCCACCCCAAAAAGGTCCTTTTGGTCTTTTTGGGAGATGCATCGTTACGCCTCCCCCGACTCGAAGGTGTTCGCAAAGCGTGGCTGGTTGGATATCTGGCGGTTCATGTGAACCAACAAATACGCGGGGGTGTCTGCTTTTGAGGGCCTTTTTTTGCGGTAGTCTCAACGGGAAACCCAAAAGGATTATTTTTCGGAAACCCTAAAGGATGTTTTCGTTTTCCTGGTATTTGTTTTTGGGGGGGGAGGGAGGGGTCCCCTAAAAACGACTACCTGCATGCCCCTTGCATACCCTCGGTAAGGTCAACGGATCAAACCAAGGGTTCAGAGTTCAGAGGCCTTCCCCAGACTCCCCATGATCTTTGCTTCAAGACGAGCCCTTGTTCCAGATGTACCTTCAACGGGGTTTCCCACTTTAGGTTCAAACCCAAGGCTTGTTTTGATTGCCAGTCCTCGAAGGGAGTTCGAAGGAAAGCCTTGGTGTGTTCCATCCCTTCCTTAGGCAGGCAATGGAATGAGGTGGCCCCGGGTCTGAATCCCGTCAGGTACCATTGGGCTTGAGTCACAGGTATCTTGTGATTCAGACCCACGGGTATTTTGTGGAGAGACTCATCCAAAGGAAAATTTATGGATTCTGGGTTTCCGAGCCTTCCTCCCGCGAATGGCGCTCGCCAAAGGTGCAACTTTCATGCATCGATCCGGTCAGATCGATTCGGATCCGGTCAGAACAGACCCGACACGGAAGCGTTCTTTTTGGAGACCCCCCAAAATGGTCCTGGAAAAGACGAGCCACCCACAACTGGGCTGCCCGTTTTCTGATCCCCCGCTAAAAGTGTTTAACCTTGGCAGGTGAAATGGAAATCCCCACTCAACACCAAAAAGCCAAAAAGCTAAGGGGATGGCTGGGAACCACTGAGACAAGGTGAAAGACAAATAGTCACGTTTCCCTATAGAAGAACTTGGAGATCAAGGGAGAACGGCAACAAGCCTGGCTGGCCAAGAGCATGGCAGGAAAAACCGGCAACCCCCAAGTCATACACCCTCCAAGTAACCTTGAGCTGGTCTCATGATACAATGCCAAGCCTAACTCAAGGAGTCACTTTCCATGGAATAGGTAGCAAACCCAAAGAATACCCTTCAAGCAGAGGGAGTAATTCTTGTGACACAAACGTTTCTTGAGGGTACCCTCTTTCGGACTGGCAGGAGAACCAAGAAAAAAAATGTGCGACCCTGTTTCATGAGCCCATGAGCCCCCCTTCGCGCCGTGAGCAATGAGCAGCTTCCTTTTGCACACCGTGCATCAAGCACCTGAGCCGGCTTGCGATGCAAGCCGAAAACCACGGCTGAGGTGAAGACTTGTTTCCAGGGCGGATCTCCGAACCAGATTTTGGGCGGGACTACTCCTCGCCTTCTACCCAGGTTTTGACTATGTCTCCTCAAGACTCCATGACCTCTCCAAAATAGTTGCTGCACACGTCAACAAAACGCGTAACGATTCTATGCCGGAATGGTCATGGAGACTTCAGGTGTATGGGTTTCTGGGGTATGTACCCTTGACTCACTCTATTCGCGAGTTGACGAGCGAGGATAGGAACGAAGGAAGACAGATGGGGAAGGGAGAAGAGAGTCATGCTTCCATCCCAATCATTTCCACTGAGACTTGACGGAGAGGAAATGATGGCTGAAGAGCATGTCCTACCCCATCTCATCCTCGCTTTCTTCCTTCCCGCTCTTCGTTCGTTCGGGAAAACAAGGAAGCGATGGAAAGAAATGGGAATGCGATGGAAAGGGGAGAGCACTCATCCCGTCGCTTCTCTCGTAACTTTCCATCTCCTACTCATTCCCATACCCGCCCCATCGTATGCAAGAAGAGCCTTAGCAACCGTCGCAACTGTCACAACTGTCCCCCTAGCCTCGGGTAACTTCTTGAAACCTCCGCCGGAAGCTTCCGGCCCTCGCCAGCAAATGGAACAGGGAAAGAACCGAAGCCCACCGCATCGTCTGTGCCATCCCTACGCCTCCCGACTGCCAGCTCCGCTTTTCGCACGCATCTTTGGAGAAAAGTTCGAAAAGAGGCCCGTGCAGCTGGAAACGAGCTCGCCCCGTTCCCCGAGTCGGAGGTGGGGCGAATGCTATGTGATGCAAGATCCATGGGACGAAATCACGCACTATTGCCCTGTCGTAATGTAACTTAGTACCCTTCATTCTGCTTACTTAGGTCCTCCGGTACCCTTTTCAAGGACGCTTGCATCTGGCATGATATCAATGAGTCATGCGCCTGGTTCTACGCAGCGCCAGCGTCAGCCGTACTTGCTTGGGCCCTATTTGGTGCATCTAGCCGACACATGCGGGTATCAGGATGCCAGCCCAGCGGTCAGAGCAAGCCGGGCGCTGACCTTTAATCAACTCATTGCATTTTTGTGGGGGAGAAAGGTGGCTCGAAGCGTTCGGGACATCTTCTGAATTGAAAAAAGAACTCGAGATCGAGTTCACATCTCGAGTGCTTGACACAGTCGTGCATCTGTCAAGCCGCCTTTCTCCAACCAACGTTTCTGCAAGTCGGGTGACACTGTTTTTGCCTTTGCATCGGACGCTCTCTTCTCTGGTTTTGTTTCAATGTTGTGTCCCCTGGATGATGAAAAAAAACGACACCCCTTCGCAGGTTTGCGGCCATCGTTTCGGGAGCTGCGCCCTTTTCACCTGCCAAAAAGGAACTGCAGCTGGGCCCCAGGTCTACGTTGGGAGAAACAATGGCTGTGAACTTCTGGAAGCCGAGAAAAGAAAACACGGCGGCTTTCGAGATCCCAACACGAAACCCATCAACTCAAACCTTGGAAACTGGTTGCAACGCTGAGCCGAAGTTTATCAAAGGCCAATGAGCCGGGCGATCCTAAACCTCGCATCCAGTTCAGTTTTTTCTCACCGAAGGAAATACTCTGCAAGATAACTTCATTGTTTTCTATCCCAAAGGCAAGTGGCAAGAGTCACCAAACTTGCAGCGGTTCTCCGTGAGGTGATTGTGAAGAGACCCGTGCGGTTGTGAAAGAGACGATCAGCACAGGGGATCTCAACCGGCAAAATCTGCTAGCCTGGCCGCTCCTGCTGGCTGTGGCACGCTGTGGCAGACGCCTTGTTTCAGCGCTCCCAATGCTACCCAACCAACAGTTCAAGGGCACCTGACTCTTGACAGCATCAAGGCTCAACGCACGTCCACTGCGCATCACATGTCTGGCGTGAAGGAACCTCTCCACGTTAGCCCAAAACTCATGTTGGCCCCACTTAGCTAGAGAGACATAGTGCAATTTCAGTCGGCAGCTTACATGGGTTTGTCTCCAAAACCCCAAGAGGGCCGAGGGTCACTCCTTGAATCCAATCGGTTCCATGCCTGCAGCCACCAAGGCGGTAACGGGAAACCAAACAAGAAGTCACTATGAAGACTTGGCCCCTGGGCCCCGTTTTATGCTCGGAGGGTAAGTGCTGCAAAAAATGCAACACGAGAATGGCCAAGTCGGCAAACGAATCGCCGTTTGGTTTCGTCTCAACCCCATAGCCTGAAGTGAATCATTTCGTCAGCATGGAATCCACAGCCCCAGACAAGACCGGCTCAGTGCGTAGCCTCTTTGAGGCTGTCTCAGACTATACGAATGGGTCAGGCTGATTCGTGCTTCATGGCCCGAGCCACGCCGCAAAATGAAGGCGACAGCGCCAGTCGTGCGCGCCCCAACCCGTCAAAACGAGTGGTTGGCGATTTTTTGGCAGCTGCGCATTTTCGTTTGATTGCTTCCCCAGTCGGAAGGTTCAGCCCAGTTCCCCCGTTTGCGATGTGCGGCCGACATGGGAAAGGCAACTTGCAAAGAAGTTCGAGTGAGCTGCAAAGCTCCCAGCCCACGGCCGAACTCGAACTCTTGGGGTTTCAGCTCTGGCGCAGTTTCGGACTCGCGCATGGCCCAATGGTTCGGGCTGGGCGGTTTGGTGAGGCGGTGGTAAGCCCCAAGCCAAGGCATTTTATCCAAATCCAAACCACCCAGTCACACCACCAATGCCAGGCAAAGCTGAGAAAAAGGATGGAAGGGACCCGTTTGCAGAAGGGCCTTTCTCTTCAGCTCCCGTGTGGATCTGCGGATCGCTCAGCGCGCGCGGAGGTTCCAGCACCACAGGTTCAGCGTGGCCTGTGGATGCTCAGGCCAGACCTCAGGAGTCCTGCGAGCCCAAATTCCCGTTCATTGCTGCGAGCAGGGGTACAAAGGTGTTTGTCTACATACACACATATATATATATATATGTATGTATGTATATATATATATTGTAGGTACACATCAGGGTTCTAAAGGTGTACATGTATATATAATTGCATATATAGCAAGAGAGAGACAGAGAGAGATGTTAAGAGGGTGCACTCAGGAGAAACAATGCTCGACAGCTGCCGCCGTTCACACACAAAGGTTTGAACAACATTTGCGCCACCGAGTTTTACATGGTAGCGGAGCAGCGATCCCTGGAACACGATCCACACACACTCAGGGTGGGCTCCAACACACGCACAGGTTTAAGCGTACGGCAGTAACTAACATGGCATGGCACAATCCACACAAGTAGCAGTCACAGCAGTCACACAATGCACAGATACAAGATACCAGCACCGCGATATGGCACATATGAGGACTTCGAGGAGTGGAAGATGACAGAATACACTGGAAGCAACTTGGGAGCGACCTGTACTAAACACTGGACTCGAGATCTGACAACTCCACATCCGGTTCTCGATACCAATGGGTACACGAAGCGTCTCAAGCCACAATTCGATGAACAGAAGTTTGAAGAAAACTACACCACATGGGAGTTTGAGGCCACACGGTACGAAAGGGACAACAACACAACACTGCCGGACAATGTCAAAAATAGCCATACTGCTCAACCAGATAAAAGGACTATTGCAGTAACACTTGCAGTTAGCAGGATCAATCACAACATACGCACAGATCAGGTCCCTGACCTCAGAATACGAGCATCAACAGCATTTGCACGACTACAGTGACACAAGCATCAGCAAGGCAGCGGACAAGGACCAGCACCAATGGACATCGACGGCACATGGCACAAAGGCGGCAAGAACAACAAAGGAAAAGGAAAAGACGAGCACAAAGGCAAACACAACAAAGGAAAGCGCAACAAAGCAACACATGTTTGTCCAACGTGGTTTGCAACAGACTACCCACTGCAACAGACACAAGAGGACACAGGAGCACAACTCAGAACAATCACAAACCAACCAATCAAGGCACACGGGTACAAATGGATCTGCGTGCAAAACGACACGCAGACAAGCACATAGTGATACCCTTTTACGTGTAACAACTAATCCTTTCAGTCACAAGGTTGGTTCAACAAGGGTTCAAGATCACACTTCCTGAACAACCAAACACGCAGCGCAGCAAAGGCTTTCACAGCAACCTGGTACAGCAGCATGGCCTGCTGTTCCTACAGATGCACATTAGCATCATGGCGGACAACATGGAGCTACATCAGAGACACACCGCAAGGACAAATCGACGCCAACGGCGGCCGACATTGTCAGAGGAGGCACAAGTGACTGGCAACACAACAAAAACGGGAGTACACAGAGTGCACAGGAAAGAACTGGTCACACCCGAACGAACAGAATGTCCAGTGTCACTCAACAAACTGGAAAACTACAGGCGAAGCACAGTAAAGAAGCAAGATGGCGCAACATACGTCATCGAAGAACAGTATCAGACACTAGACAGCAAGCAACAACACAGAACACTCCCACATTCCTGGAAAGGTGAAACAGTCTTCAGGATCAAGAAACAGCACCAGCAGGCGGCGTCCCAGTAACAACAAATGGCGCCTAAGCAACAGCAAACAGTGGCACAGTCAACAACCACAACGGGAAGACTTGCAGCAACAAGAATCACTCCAAATATCATTAGTTACAACCCAAAGATGAGACTGACAACAAAGACAACACCACAGGCGCAAAGAAATCCCACAACCACACCAAATAACCCCAACATCGGACTACGGGGTTCGCGAAGGACATCTTGGAAACAAGTACATGTTATAACGAGCACAAGTACATCGAGGACGAGTGGACAACACAGCCCAACAAATCCCACAATTTTCTGTTGACAGGTTCGACCAACCTCGAGGAGAACACGCAGTACAACACGGAACTACATGATGATGAAGAAGCACAGCAGCAAGCACACAAGGCAAAAGCAGTACCTTCGCCACAGCGCCGACAGCACAGATCGCAACAAGAGTAGCGCGACCAACAAGAGAAACAAGGACAGACACATCACGTACCAGCACACAAGACGCAGGAACCAGCACAGCAAACGAGCAAAAGCGAACACCGCAGCAAGATGGACCTCCGACCAAACAACAACGACTTCTTCCTGGAGACGCTGGACCTACATCACCAATGCCGACTTCACAAACGACATCAAGACGACCACCACTACCACCACGAACACAAACACGCACGGATGAAATAGCAGCAGGAAGCACAAGCAAGCAACAGAAAACGGAAACAACACAACAGCAGAAGGAAAGGCCAGAGCAAACAGAGCAACCCAAGATGAAGCTCAGGATTGGAGCCAGCACAGAAAACAACAAAGCAGGACAACCAATAGAAGCAACAACTGGTGGGTCCAAAAGTATGAAGAAACAAATGAAGGAACACAATGTCTTCACAAGGGTTGACATCCGGACACTCACGCCGGAACAACCACGGAACATTGGAGTCGAGGTGGGTGCTGAAAAAAAGGAATCATAATTGAGCACGCACGGTGGCAAAAGGCTACACAGAGAACATAACAGACACAGACACACTGTATGCATCAACACCAATGTTCAGCATCCTTTGCACGCTTCTCACGAGAGCACTAGCAAAAGGAATGAAAGTTCGCACAGGTGATGTCAGCGTGGCATTCCTACATGCCCTAGCAGCAACCACGGACACGCACATGAGACCACCACAAGAATTTTACGGTGAGAACAACAAGCACATTGTTTGGCGGCTCAACAAGCAATGTACGGCCTGAGTGGCAAGATCACATAGCAACAGTTCTCACAAAAAGCTTGGACAAACACCACTCAAAACAGACTCCAGCGTCTACAGGAACGAGGAAGGACAGCCTACACCACGATCTACGTCGACGACCTACTTCTTCTTGGAGAAGGACACATCATCGACAAGATCTTCAAACAGATCGAGAAGGAGGTTCTTCTACGACCCACAGGTGAACTACAACCAGGTACAGCAGTTTCCTTTCTCGGAAGGAAAATCACACACAACGGAAACAGCGTGGACATCAGCCTGCAGGACAAATACGTCAACGACATTCTGCGAAGCAAACATGAAACGCAGCACCAACACCATGCTTACCAGCATTTAAGACAGACACCAACACAGAGCAACCTCTGAACACAGAGGAACACAATGCATACAAAAGGACAGTTGGCAAGATACAATGGCTAGCATACACCAAACAAGACATTTGCTTTGCAGCAAAGGAACTTGCGAGTTCCTTACGAGCACCAACACAACTCGACAACCAGAAAGTCAAACTCTAGCTCGGATACCTCGCAGGCACACAGCACTACAGGCGTAGGACACAACCCGTCATGCAGCATGGAGACAGGCGAGTCCTTGTCAACATCGACATCCAAAGCGACGCTAACTGGGGCTCATGCCAAGCAACGCGCAACAGGCTTTGCAATACACTACCTTGGCACATGCATACACTTTGCATCACGCACACAAGCAGTAGTAGCTCTCTCTTCAGCGGAATCAGAGCTGTATGCCGTATGCACAGCATGCACAGAAGGCCTGTACACGCAACTTTGTACAGGAAGCATTCGACATCGAAACAAACCTGAAAATCACACCGACAGCAGCGCAGCAAAATCCATCACAATGAGAGAAGGCACATCAAAGAAAGCAAAGCACATTGAACTGAAACACCTCTTTGTGCAACAACTGGTAAAACACGGACTGATCTCGACGCACAAAATCAGGTCAGAGCACAATCCAGCTGACATTCTCACCAAAGCTCCAAAAGCACCTCTACAAGGTTGGTCTTCCAGACCGGCCCACATCTTGGATGTGACCAGCGCAACTGCAGTTTCACACATGTTGAACAGTATGTGACACACGCAATGTTCGACAGATGCGACCCAGTGACATCCACAGTATTGCACGTACTTGTGGTACAGTAACGACTTCGCACTTTGTCACTTGTCCGTTTAAAACAACAGGTACATGCGGGGCAGCGTTTCACCTTGGAGTCCTTGGCCATGGACAACCCATTGCGCGCAACCTTCCTACAACCTTTTGAGATGTTGATACATGTTGATAGGACCGGCAATGGCACGGACAGGAAGTCGCCCTCACAAGAGTCTTGTGGCCAATGACATGGATCTCCCCTCAGGCTACTGTGGAACAGGTAGAGACAACGCCTGATAATGCATTGTCTACGCACATGAAGTACAAGATCCCCATGACAACTGAGGAGAAAGACATGCTCACTTCGAATGGCGCGCATCGATCAGGACACTTGATGGCAACATGCGGCATCCACACATCGGCTTCGTGGCAATGTTGCACACGGTGATGGACTGTGTGACTTACATGAGGTGGCTCACAGCCGAGAACATGGTTGGGTCGAATCACATGCACAGCATGTACATTCTGCTTGTCAGGCACATGGCACACCTGTTGCATGTTCGCAGAATATGCCCTGTCACCAGGGTATGCTGTGCTGCAGTTTGTTCTGGAACAATTCACAGGGTATCGCCTCTTGCACAACATCAAGTTTGAAGTGTGAGCATGCGTGCTTACAAATTGTGTTTGCTTACACATTGGACTGTCTGCACAGTCTCACATGACAGTCGGATGAATGTACACGGCGCCGACAGTACAGGACACAGTTGTATAGCTTTGCACTATCTGCCGCTAGTTTGCGCGTTGCTTGCATCATCCTCATCACAAGGGCTTTGTGCAAAGCAATTTGATACAGTTCGTTGTGTACATCGCTGTGCACACCGAGGAGGCGTGTTAAGAGTACATGTCTCATCTGGCCTTGGTAGGCCTTGAGCCATACTGGTTCGAACACTCAGGAGAAACAATAGAGAGACAGAGAGAGAGAGGCCTTACTGCGATCCGGATAAAACCAGGTAGCAGAACTACATCAAATGGGCATTGCCGACTAATAGTGACTGACTACCTCGCTTAAAAAACGCGATTAGTCAGTTGAATCATTTTTGCCAAGTCACTTTCAGGAATGCTCAATAACATCAAAAAGGGGCCAAGGACATTGGACAAAACTTTTGAGGAGCAACCATGGCCGCAGACCACAAGATCATCCCAGTCCGGCACTGTTGTGCCCAGGAATAGTGTCAGAAACAGCCGAAAGCGTAAACTCTGAATGGCCATAGCTACATTCAGAATATGCAACGTTGGTCCCTGGGATTTTCATGTGGAACCAGAGGTTGAAACAGCTCAACCCGTCCACAGGTGCAAGCTGGGGGCAGCATTGGAGGCTTGGTTCATGTCCTCAGTTTCAGAAACCTGGAGGTATTCACAAGGGGTACAAAAAGTCAGGCTATGGGTTGCACCCATCAAAATCAACCGGAGTTCAGTTGTCATCCTCCCCACAAAAAGCCCGCCAGCAGCTCTGATGAAACAAACGAAGCCATAAGAAAACCACAAGAAAGCTACAAGAAAGCCATAAGAGCACCAGTTCCCATCAAGCCACCCCGCCCACTCAGCCCCCCCCCCTCGGCCCCGTCCTGATCCCCGACGTGCCGGAGAAATCTGAGGCACACGTGGACTTCTTCGACAGGGCCTCCAGCTGTAGCTTCTTGAACAGATTGCCTCAGGTCCAACAGCTGCACATGAGCCATGTGCTCAAAACCCGGGGATTGATGAAGGTTAGTAAGGGGACAACCGTAAATAGCTGCGGATATCCGCCTTCTGAACTCTTGAAACATGGTTCTGGATTACGACCATTTTAATACCGGGTGTTGATGATGACTCACATGTGCGCCACGCCCAAAATGACCCAGCCCAAGGAGTGGGAAGCTTTGAGCTAATTGTTGCCGACTTGGATCCTAATGGCCACAATTCTGGCGTCCCTTCAAACCAAGCTGAAACGGGTTACCCTGCAACAACAACATGTGTATATATGGATGCAACAAATAAATACATACATATATATATATATATGTGTATATATATATATATAGTTGCATATGTGGCTACATTGTGGTTCACAACACCGAAAAGATAGAACCTTCAAACCTCTTTGCCATGGAACCTGGTTGTGCTTTGGACCGGTTTCCTCAAGCGACCCTCTGGTAGGCTCCAGGATACCCTGGTTGCAGCTCACGGCGAGTTTTAAGACCAACACAACCCTCTGGTACAGCAAAGACTCGCTTCCTCTCCTTTTCCACCTTAAAGGCGTAGCTGCAAAAAAGAGCGCCCATGAAAGGCTTGAGATTGCAGCACGCATTTGTATGTGTGTTGGTTCCTGTTTTTTGTGGGGCTTGCCCCCCATTCTTTCAAGGGAAGCCGGAGGGTGTTTTTTTCCACTGTTTTGGGACCCCAGTTGTAAGAGAGTTGGGAGGGGTGGATTCCACCCATTGCGCCTTCAAAAAACAGGCGCCCTAGCCTTGGATGGAAAGCTGCTTTTTGGGTGGGCCTTTGCTTTGGCGTGACGGTTCATTCAGATTAGATCACTTGGATCCGGTGGGGGGAGACCTGTTTGAAGTGGTTTGCCTTTGGAACACCTTCAGCTGGCCGACCCTGCCCGAACCACGTCAAGTCACTTTCCAAAGGGTGTTACCCAACAAACTAGTTGTTTCCCTGTGGTTTCCAGACCCCCCAAAAAAAACAAAAGAGGAAGGGGGCCAAAAATATAAAATAGGCTGCTCGCTTCTTAATATATATATATATATATAATATTAATAATATTTAAAAAGAAAAAAGGCACCGCACCACCAGACCAAATAAAACAAACATCCAAAAGCGCGTCCCGTCCGACCGTTTCGCTCGTCTCCGATTCTCCGCCGGGAGGCACAAGCCGCCCTCCTTCCGCAAGCGGCTGCGGAGCTTGGGGCACAGCTGCACACGCCGCGCCAGGCCCACCTGGCGGCCTGTCCAAACCCGCTGGACGACGGGCCACAAAACCCGCTGGACGACGGGCCACAAAAGCCTGGGATTGGATCGCTGCTTTGGGCGCTGCTTTGGGATGTTTGTCTCTTTCCTTCTTGTTGCTTCTTGTTGTTGCCTGTGTGTTGTTTTGTGTCTCTCTCTTTTTTTGGGGGGAGGAGGGGGGAAGGGAAAGCGATGCCATTCTTGAAGCCTCCTAGAAAAACAGACACCCGCCTTGACATTTGCGACTGGGGGAGGTGTCAAACTCAGATTTTGCGCATTTGAAGCTGGTTCTTGAGCAAACCAAAGGGGACACCACCCCAACCAACCACCAAAAGAAACTCAATACATTGCCGCGCCTGAACTGGCAAAAGAAGATGTGTTTGAACCAGTCGCCAACATATGTTCAGTCAGGGCAAACATGGAAACCGGTCCATGTGTTGCGACATACACCAATAAATGTGTCTGTGTCTCTTTTTAAGGACCCCCAAAATGGTGGTGTTCCTATTTGCCACCAGCCCAGACTACTTCTTGCCCATGGTCTTCGAGGGCTTGGTCAAAAGACTTGGGTACGCGGCTCAAAAAAATAGGAGCACTGGGTGCCAGGATTTTGGTTTCGCGAGTGAACAGCGCAGCCACTTGCGAAGTCTTGAAACGCTCAAGTATGGCCACGTCGAACTGCAAACGAACCGTTCCCCAAGGCGAAAAAATCTGCCAGCGCCGAGTGGTCGCATATTGCGTCCCACCGCAAGCCGCCCGGCGGAGTCGCTTTTCAAAAAGTCCAACTGGAACCCACCAGAAGGGTGCCTCGCGCAAAACCCAGCAACAAAGTATTTGATAAGTTAAGTTGCATCACCCATGTCATCTCAACCTCAGGGACTGCTCCTACGCCCCAAGTTCCTCCCCCCCCCCCCCAACTGCGGCTTCGCCTAGCCATGCCCCGAAGCGCTCGTCCCTCTCCTCCACCTCCAAGGGCAGACGCAAGGCCTGCCTTAAGTCCTCCCACATCTCCTCGAACGGCGCAAGCGAGGAAAAGCTGGGTCCCCGCAACCCAAGCCGAACAAAAAACGCCAAGCGACCGAAAGCTGGTGGAGTTTCGCCCTTGGTCGGCTTCAAGTGAGACCATGGGAAGGAACAAAGGGGGCACAGAGGCTGATGTTGCAGCCACTCGCTCGGCTTGCCACCCGCCACCCCTTTCTGTCCTGCTCCTCTTCGCGATTCCAGGTGCAACCCTCCTTCCTAACGGAAGGAGAAGGGACCAGTAGCAAAGCTCCCGACTGGTGTCATGGGTCATCTTCATTTAAAGAGAGGTGTGTTGTCATGGCATCCTTATGAATCCTTAGATGTCCTTTTGTTACTACTACCCTGTTGGCCGGCTGAATTCAATGGGGCATCGTCTTCAATTCAAGGAAATCCTTGTGATGTCCCAAGGTGTGTTGTCATGGTTTCCGTATGGACGAATAGAAAATGAGCTGGTGGCTACTACCCTGTTGGCCGGCTTGAATTCAATGCGGCCTTATGGTTGCCTAATGTCCCCGGGTGTGTTGTCATGGCATCCTTATGGATCCTTAGATGTCCTTTTGTTGCTACTTCCCTGTTGGCCGGATTGAATTCAACGGGGCATCATCTTCATTTGAAGACACTCCTTCTGTTTGTCTAATGTCCCAGGGTGTGTTGTCATGGTTCCCTTATGAATCTTTAGATGCCTACTGTTGCTACTACCCTGTTGGCCGGCTTGAATTCAATGAAGCATCATGTTCAATTGAAGAGAATTCTTAGGGTTGTCTCATGTCCCAGTGTGTGTTGTCCTGGTTCCCTTATGAATCCTTAGATGTCCTTTTGTTGCTACTATCCTGTTGGCCGGCTTGAATTCAATGGAGCATCATCTGTGTTGTCAAGGTTCCCTTATGAATCCTTAGGAAATCTGTTATTGCTACTCCCCTTTTGGCCGGCTTGAATCAAGGGGGCATCATCGTCACTTGAACAGAATCCTTATGGTTGTCAAATGTCCCCAGGTGTGTTGTCATGGCATCCTTATGAGTCCTTAGATATCCTTTTGCGCTACTACCTTGTTCGCCGGCTTGAATTCAATGGGGCATCATCTTCATTCTATTTTGGTTGTCTAATGTCCCAGGGTGTGTTCTCATACTTCCCCCATGAATCCTTAGACGTCCTTTTGTTGCTACTACCCTGTTGGCCGGCTTGAATTCAATGGGGCATCATCTTCATGTCAAAAGAATCCTGATATGCACCTGAATCTATTCAATAGGCTTGTCTCAGTATTCACCAAATGGCTGGCCGCCGCGTCCTAGTACAAATAAGCCAAAACGTCAGCCAAAAGCAATAGCCTGACGTCTCGGCTTGCAGACGCAAAAAGACACTTCCAAAGGAATCATCTTGCTTTGGAAGGACCCAGAAGACTCCAGGAAAACAAAGACAACTCAGCTCGGGGTCCCCCACAAACAAGAAAGACATACACCTGTTTGAAAATAACCAAAAGCAGGGATCAACAACTCCGGCCTCCTAAAAACACACATACACCCTTCTGAAGCGACAAAATCAAATAAGAAACTGCAAAGAAAAACGATAAGGAGAAGAAAAAAAACGAGAAAACAGTCGGCGCCTGGCTGTCCGCGGCTGATGGCAGGCCATCCAGACTCGCCCGATGCCGCCGTACTTGGCAACACGGTCCCTGCCGGCCAAAAACCCATCGACGCTTGGCTGGTGGAACAAATTAGGTGACAAATGGTGGCAAAGTAAGTGAAAAGAGTTGGTACCCTTATTCTAACCTCTCTACTGAAGGACCTAGAATGGCTGTGGGTGAAAAATCGGGTAACCCCAAAATGTCTTGCCCTGATAAATGGAAAAGTGGACTAAAACCTGCGGTCCAATTCCTGGTGGTTTAATTTTGACCCAGGATTAATATACCCGTCCCATTCTTAGGGGGGTGTTCCCTCCAAAAGTGGTCTGAATCCCCAATAAAAGGGGACACCTCCCTAGTAATCAACCAGGGGTTTATTACTCCGGGGTTTTTATTAGGTGACAAATTATGTCCATAGGCAAGGCGTCAGGACAAAGTTCCCCATGCTCAACTTACATCTTCCAAAATCCAAAAGAGAAACTCGACTTGGACCTTTTTATAGCGGGGACAGCATGTCGCACGACCGGGTTCCGACGAGATGTTCCTAACATCAACCACCCGCAAGCGCACGTATGGAAAGGGAATTAAATCCAGGAGTCCTGAAATGCCGTGCAGGTGCGGAGGGGACTCCTCTCTCTTTGAGGCATACCACTCGAACATCGAAGCCGCCAAAAACAGGTCGAAGCGAACACCGAAGCCCGAGACAAACCCCAAAGAAGCCGTGGTTTTCTTCACCACTTGGAGCCCTTCAAGGCCGGAAACGAACCCCTCGCGGATTTTTGGGACTCATTCCTCGCCTGAGTGCCGGATTCTTCGAAAAGACCTCCACCAGGTGAAATCTCGCCGTGATCCAGTCCACTTGCCGCTCAAAGTCCTCACCGGACACAAAACTCCGCGCCGGGTGCGGCGCGGAAAAAGACGCGCGCAGCACCTAATTTCATGGGCGGCTGAGCACGGCATTTGGAGGGCACCCTGTTGTTGGTGTGAAAGGGACGAACTGACCGAAGCTGGCCTGCCGGAGTCTAAGCCATGGAATTCAAATTCCGAATCTCTCCTTTTCCAACTTGCTCCATGTTTGACGAACATCCGGAAACAAGAAGCTGACCAGGGAAACCATTGCGAAACTATTGGTTCCTTCTTTCATTTCAAGTCTCCTACAAGATCTTCATTGAAAGCACCCCCCCATACATTCATGCAAAGCTTGGGATGTTCACTGGTTCACGCCATTTTGAGCGATTGCTGAAACTGCAGACGGCAAGTGCCAGCGGAACTTGCAAGAATACGAAATCCGAAAAGGCCAAACTTGAATTGAGGCCTGCTAGTTTCTTGACAGTAGCTGGCGTCGCTAAAGAAATCAAGAACTTCAATCTGTAGGCATGCTTCCATGGTGCAGGACGGCCACATCATTGTTGTGTGTTTCCCCAAATTGGGGGCTGGGTGTACCCTATTTTCAAGCCGCCAAAGAGTACCCATTGGCGGCCTGGAATCCCAACCCATTCGAGTGCAGATTTTGCCCGCTTCGCCTTGGGTTTGATCGGCACAGTCTGCAAGTTGTAGAGGAGGTCTCGCCAGGCAGGCTCCATGAGACAGACGCTACCTCCAAACAGACGGACAACGATCGCAGCTACGTCCAAAATGGCTGCTGAACGAGGCCTCGCGCGTCGTGTCGGCTTGTCAATATATCTTCTCTCGCGAATCCCAAGTGGGCCACAAGCGGGCACGCCTTGCACACCACATGAGCCACGGCTGATGATTGCTTGCTTCCCCGAGGGTGCCCCGTCGTTTTGCGAGCAATTCCGCGGCGCGCCCCCCGAAAGCAAGTTTGACCGCGTACCTGAATTCTTCAACGAATGGCAGCCAATGGAAAGAAGGACTTTTTGAGGGGAGTGAGCCATCACTGGGTGAATACGGATGTGTCTCTTTTGGGGGAAGCCTCACAATTGTGGTTTTCCTTGAACCAAAGGGGGGTACCCTCAAAAAGACACACCCATTTTACAGGTTGAGCCATGCGTGCTTCAAATCGACTTTCGCCGGCCGGTAGTTTCACTCATGCAGATCATGGTGCTTCCTACCTTCCACACCAAACACCTGAAAACGCCTGTGAAGTTGCAGCTCAGGTGAAGGGCAATGTGGACTTGCGAGGACTCCCTTTTTGGCTGGTTCTTCTTTGAGGGAAACCAAAAAAACAACCCACACACATGCGAGAAACCAAAAGAACCCGCTCCTTCAAACTTCAGAGCGCTCCTTTGTTCGTGGCGAGGCACAGTGTCGTGGCTCCGCCTTGGTTTCACTCCAAATGGTGGTTTCAAGGGCTTCCCCCCACCAAAAAAACGATTGGCTGGACCCACTTCAAAATGCGAATCCTTCCCAAAGACAAGGCCCACCCCTGCTCAGTCCACCGCCATGGCGAGAGCGCCATCCAAGGATGACTTCTGGGCGGTTTTGGTTTGAGATAACAAGTTGTCCTTGTGTTGTGGCGACTTGTTGGCTTTGGTGGTTGAAGTTGAGTTGCCTCGTCTGGACGCCGGAGCCACCAGACCAACTGCGCAGGTCGCAACTCGGACGGAAATCTCGGACCCTTCCCTCGGGTTCATTTATAACGCTCTCTGCTTGGGATCATGTCCACAAAACAACCGCAAAGACATGATGGAGTCTGTGCTTAATATCAATTAAGGCGGCATATTTGAATGGCAATCGCTACGCAGTGCGAGCTTGGTTCCTTTTTCCGCAATGCTCAAGGACCCTTGATCCACAAGGCCCATACGCATCCACGCACATCAGGTTTTACAAGACATGCCTAAAGACAACATCTAGGCAAGGAGCCACGTGTACTATCACACGTTCACACTTAACCTGCTACTGGTGTTGTCGTGGTGCTATCTTACCATGAAAGTTTGAATCTGTACATGCATTCCACAACTCTTTACTCCACTTCCTAGGATACATCAACACCAGTCTGCAAGGCATAGGTCTCCCCGTGGGGCGTCGCTGCACACACGCTTGATCGTGCAGGAGCAAAACGACAATCGAACAATGCCCACCTGGAATCTCGGGCTTGCCGGGCTTGCCGGGATCAGCATGGATCCGTCCCTGCTGGAACTTGTGCTGTCAACAAACCCATATCGTTGTTTTTCGTGATCCGTGCGGCCAATCGCGATCACGCAAGCCCGCTGTTCCAGCATCGGGAGACAACCAAAAAGAAGACTAAGAGGAAACCCGCACCAAACAAACACCAAAACGGAAACGACACCAACGAAAAACCGGAACCAGCAAGACAAAACGACAGACGGGATCCTCCGGACACCTCCAAACGTCATACATGGGAGGCGGATGCCACCAGGCAAGAACAACAGTTGGTGGGTGCCTACGCGAAAACAAGCAAAAGTCAACACAAAACAAAACAGCCACAAAACCAGAAAACATCGGCAGAGGGATGCTTTGAGCAACTGACAAAGTCGAGCAAGAAATGTCGAGCTAACAATCGAGGCAACGAATGTTCCATTCGCACCCACGAGAGTCAGCGACGCATACAAAGCCTAAGTCAGCGTGAAACCAAACAAACGACATCGGGAGACAGAGGCCTCAACCATTAAAACACAGTGCCTGCAAGCCACTGCATAGACGTAAGCAAACGGAGAAAAACCAAGGGATAGCCAAGAGAGCCCAGAGTCGACTGTTGTTGCGAAAGGGTTTGAAACAGAGTTTCGGGAGAGAATAAACAGGCCCAATCCCACCAACAAGAAGAGATTGTTTAAGCCCCCCAGTCCCAAGGGCAAAGCGGTGCCCTCAGCTGGCACGAACAATGAACCAAAACAGGGCGCCTTTAACCAAAAGATGACTAAACCCAGCAAGGGCAGAGACAACCGATAGCAAGCACAAAGCAGCAAACCAAGCAGGCAAACAGAGCGAAGCACGGTGAGCAAGCAAGCAAACCAAATGCGCACCAACCCCAACCAAAACCCCCGACCAACCTCCACCGGGGACACCACCACCGGCGCTCGGCAGCGACACACTTTGTCGGAGACGAGCACGAGGTGCCGCGGCGCGCGGTGACGAAATTGCAAGGGCTAATTGCCGGGTTGAAAAGCTTGAGCCAAACGGCGCATTGGCCGTGGCAGTATATGCACATGTTGCGATAAAAGTACATGCCCCCAAAAACACCCCCCTCGACTGCACAAAGAGAAGGAGTGAATTTGGAAATGTTGAAGTTGAGTAGCAACAAACAAGGAAAAACAGGAGATTAGGCTACCAGGGTTCGCGACCCCATACCCGGGCTCACATTGGAGCCCGGATCCCGCCACCACCCCGAATTACGGGTATGGGGCGGATTCTCGCCGGTAGCCAAATCAAATAGAAAAGAGCAAAGGAAGAACGAAAAACAAGGATTCAACTCCAATATGGCAGGCATGAAATAGATTGGCATTTGCAATGCAATCACACGGAATCGTGAGATCCACTGAATCCTTGATTGGGCGCTTTGGCCAGCTGGTTGAAACATGGTGCGTTGACCAGAAAACACTGGTCTTAAAAAAACACCGTTTCTCAAAAAACATCCTTATAAAGCTCCTTAAAAGCTTTTTATAAAGCTTCTTATAAAGCTTCTTATAAAGCTCCTGATCCTTACAAAGCTCCTTATAAAGCTTCTTAAAAAAAGCTTCTTATAAAGTTCTTATAAAGCTCCTTATAAAGCTTCTTATAAAGCTTCTTAAAGCTTCTTATGAAGCTTCTTATAAAGCTTCTTATAAAGCTTCTTTTAAAGCTTCTTATAAAGCTTCTTATAAAGCTTCTTATAAAGCTTCTTATAAAGCTCCTTATAAAGCTTCTTATAAAGCTTCTTATAAAGCTTCTTATAAAGCTTCTTATAAAGCTTCTTATAAAGCTTCTTATAAAGCTTCTTATAGAAAGCTTCTTATAAAGCTTCTTAAAGCTCGCGGTCACTCAAGGAGAACCGACGGGAGCACCGCCAGCAGCATGCGGTTCAGGTCCGAGTAGGACCCCAATCCTTCGCCAGCTGCGTCAGCGGTGCAGAAGGATGTTGATCGCCAGCGGCCATAGACGCCGGTGAGGATGACTGCCTTGCAGTGACAAAACGTGCTTCTGGCAGGACAATGTGACCGGCGCGATTAGCGAGTAGGACACCTTCGCCAGCTGCGTCAGCGGTGCAGAAGGATGTTGATCGCCAGCGGCCATAGACGCCGGTGAGGATGACTGCCTTGCAGTGACAAAACGTGCCTGGCAGGACAATGTGACCGGCGCGATTAGCGCACAGTCACACGCGCAACTGAATTATAAGTCGGTGATTAACCGATATGGTGGATTGACACCAGGAGCGTTGTCCTGTATGTGTCATCGCGCGTTGGTTCAATTTAAGATAAAACCACATAAAATTGCAAGCGCGCATTGGCACATTCGGGCGCGACACAGCACTTGTGGAACACGATCGGGCCGCGCCGTCCCTTTCCCTTCTCAACATTCCAGTCCCCGGGGGGAAGAGGAGAAGGCTCGGTTTCAGCCAACTCGTCAGTGAGGCGAATTTGGATTCATGTATCCGCCGGGATTCTCCTGCAGATACTGCGGCCACCCCTGCGGCATTGCGCCAGGCCACATTTGCGGCATCATGCCAGCCATGGGCTGTTGCATGAAGCCCCCCGTCGGGAATGCGGGATACATTGGACTCGGATACGGAAAAGGAGCGGCTTGTGCGCCCTTGTATCCCAAGCCACGTGAGTCGGGCTGGTACCCGCCGGTCGGCGTCCTCGGCCACGGCCGTATTGCCCGTACTGATGGGAAAAGGCCGCCCTTACCCTTGCGCTGGTCACCCTTGTGACCCTTGAGTTGGTCACCCTTGTGACCCTTACTTGCATACGGGCCCCCTTTGCGACCGATCCGGTCGCATTGAAGCCGAGCGACGATCACTCCGAGGTGTCGCCGCCCGCTTGTGGCGCTTACCAGATGGCGGATCGGGAACCATGTCGACCTTGTTTTGATCGGTATAAATGTATGCCTCAGCATACTCGATTGGGGCCGTGATCGACCCTCCGCCGGTTCTCACGCTCAGCGAGTCTCGGTGATAACAAAACCAGGATCTTCGTCAGTGAAGTCCGCAAGGCGTCGCTCGGCTTGGACCACTGACATGACTACGTCCTCACGAGAGGCGCTTGGGCCATAGAGTGGAACGAGATACCCATCCTCGACTGCGAGTCGGTACGCGTCGTACATATATACAGAAAGGTAAAAGGCAAAGGCTGAATTTAGACTGCCCTTCCTCGTCATGCGGCGTCCCCACTGCGCCGCGTTGTTGATCAAATATGCGAGCACTGTCAAGCCCTCAGGAACTGGGATTCCAGTATTACTTTCCTCGATGAGCAATGGCTTTGCAACCCATCGCTCAAGTGCTTCACTCGCTCTCACACACAAGTGAGTGTCCATTGAGGCGACGCTCTCAACCTCCCGAAATGCAGTCTGTACAGTATCCGCATTGGGATTGTGTACGGGGTATGGCGCACATCGCAGCCCGGAGATCGTGCAACTGACCACCTCGCGGATCGGGTTTACCGATGCCATTAGGGGGGCCCAGACACTCGTCCCCATAGTCCAGCTGTTGGGCATGACTGCTTTGAGTCCGTCCAACCATGGCCCATTCC